GGAACTCAGAAAAAAAGTGACATGAGCCTCCAGAGTCCCCTTCAGAGCAATTATGCCAGCAGTGAATACATCAATGGAAAGCTCCCTGACCTGGAGCAGGGAGGGAAGGAATGCACAGGGCCGTGTTGGGCCTCCGAGCTGCTGGTCTTCCCTGGCCTCCTGATGTTTGGGGAAGGGACAGAAGGACCTCCACTGCTGTCAGGTTTGCCCTCCCTTCCCTAAAAGCTAGGGCAAGGGCACGTTGGGTAGGGGATGTTGTTGAGAAAAGCTAAGTCATTCCTGTGTTTGATTAAAAAGAACAACGAGTCGAAATAAAAGTGCTAACTCATCGTAAAGAGTCCACCCCTCTCTTTCCCTCAGTCCTCATCAGAAAACGCTTCTAAGCTTGACAACAAAAACGCAAATCATCAAATGACACCTCACTAGAACTCACTCTGTGTGAGCTCGGAACTTTCTGTACCTTTAAGCATTCTGCAGCAACAAGTTTCACATTTATTTGTAAGTGGTTGAAAATAAAAATCAGGTAGAAAAAAGAAGAGAAAGGGAAAAGATTAAAGCAAGGGGGATAAAATTGAACATTTGAAGACTCTGGGAATTCTTTGTATCAATACTGCAACTATTCTGTAAGTGTAAAATTATTTCAAGAGAAGACATTTTTTAAAAGGTCAAATATTACGCTATATAAAGAGAAGATACATATTCTCCATTGGGAAAATACTCGTAACATTTATGATAGACCATGAATTAATTCCTTAATATCCAATCATAAGAAAAAGACCAACAGCACAATGGAGAAGTTAAACAGGTAAGCTACAAAAGATCAAGTTTAATTGGCCAATTTGTGTGTGGTCAAATTTATTATCAATGAGAAAAATGTAAAGGTTTGAAAAGGGGCTGTGATAAAATTTTGCCAGATTTGGCATGACCTGTTTTTTGAAATTATCTTTTACTTTTATTTATAAATATTAGTTGTCTATTTTTTGAGACTTTGGAAAAAAAATAAGAAGAAGTTAACTGATGACTCCATACTGAACCTCAGAGTCAAAGCATTCTGTAATAAATATACTCTTATTTGACAAAGTGAATGCTACCTTCTTTGCATTATTATTATTATTGCTTAATATTTCGATGCAGCAATCATCTGATTCTTTTCTGAATGTATTTATCTTTGTTCGTTCTTTACGAGGTTTTTGTTTCTAGTCCTTATCTTAAACATTGTTACTGTTATTAAATTGTAAGCCTTTTTAATTTTGTGAAGGCAAAAAGTGGAAACGTAATAAACACATGTATATGTAAAAAAAATGGCAACAACCCCCCCAAAAAATTTTGCCTAAGAGATTGCCTCCTCAAAAACAAATAGACTAACTGCCAAAACCCTCTGCATTTGAAAGGTTTATGATTCAATGGAGGCTACGCTGCTGGTGAATGTCTCAATGGGCCTAATAATCTGGTTACAATTTGGCCACGGAAAATGTTTTTAAAGCAGCTTAGTCCCTTTGATCCAGCGTTTCCTTTTACTTGGTAGAATTTATCCTGAGGAAATATTAGAGAGGTATGAAATTATGTACAAGGCAGTTAATTGTATGTTCAACATATCAATGCATATTCAATAAATATGTATTCATCATATATTCTTTGCAATAATATTGTGTTACTAGACTAACAAGCAGGAGCTATGTCACCATATGATGGGTTACTAAGCAGTCACGAGCAAAATCCTTGTGAGGAAGAGCGCTGAGAATGAAAAACGTTGACAACATGTCCGCTGTTTAAACATTAGTGATCTTTGGGTGATGCCATTATTTTACCGTCAATAACCTTCAGACACTCAGAAAACTATCCTACATAGGTTGTAGCACATATGTGCCACGGTGATTCTATTTCTGGAGGAATGAAATGGCCATGAAGAAGCAGTTGAGAAGCCTGAGGAATACCTAAAGCTCTGCTTTCCCAAAATGACATAGGTTTTACAATAAAATCCTGCATTTTCCCAACTTACATGTTTGTTTGACCTTGAACAACTTCCTTAGTAGGATAGTTTCAAAACAACAGCTACACTGTTTAGTTTGCTTTATATCCAATCATTAATGTATGCATACCTGACATTAGGAAAATGCAACTTATACATATTTAAAATTGAAGTGTAGATAAATCCAATTTTAAAAGCAAAAGGGGAATTAGGGATGAACTAGCCTCATTTTCTCATTTAATAGATAAGGAATCCAAGACCTAGCAAGATGAAGTGACTTGCTTAGTTAATATCCTTAATATACAGATGGAATATCAGAGAAAAAGAGAAAGATCGTAAGGGGCAAATGAGCAATAAATGGGAATAGGCAAATTAAGACAAAGAAACGCAAGTAGCCGATAAACATGTATAAAATATTCAACCTCAGGAGTAACAAAGGAAATGTAAATTAAAAAAAAAACCAAACCAGAAAAAAAAGAAACCAAACCCATGATGCTCATAACTTTGCTTAACAAATGAGCCCCTCTCAGAGCAAAAAGAAATAGTCCAGAGACCACAGAACAGAACATGCTGGGGTAACACTGAAAGCTCCTGTCTATCCGTGCAGGCACCCCTCCCCTGATATGTGTACCAAGGAGCCCCTCAATAATAGTGCCCTGCTAAAGAGAAGAGCAAACACCACAATAGCTAAATGAACAAGTGAATTATGAAGAACTCCAAGTTAAAGAAATGAATGAGGAATATATTCACACTAAAGGATTCCTAATGGAGTGACACTAAGTTATTGGGGGCCCAGTCGCAATGAAAACTTTGCTAACTTTCTGCCGTATCCCAATTTCATAAAGCTAGGTTCAGTACAGCGTAATAGATCCTTGTTTTTACCTCTTCTGGGACAGTTAGAGTTTGAGTTCTTAGCTTCCTGTTCAGCCGAGGCTGTAAGCCTCTAACTTTGATATTTACAACTTTAGGTATTCGTATCTGAGAACAAATTCCCCGATGCTGTGCCTCACGGTTTTATTCAAAATAGGGCTGCTTATTATGATGTCAATGTCATTATGATGTCAGGACAATTTCCCTCAGATTACCTAGGAAATGATGCTTAATTGCAGATTAATGAAATATCACATTTAGACCACTTTACTTTTCTCTTTTTTTATTTTTTTACTTTGTTCTTTCATAACCAGTATATTTCAATGAATGATCTCATACAGTCCTAATTTCCAACTAGGTGGGGTAAAGCAATGAGAAAACACTGGCAAGGTCTGACTCCATTGTTAACTGATATTAAATAACCCAAGAAAATACACGTTTTTGCATGTGAGTTAGTGCAAAATATTTAAGTTTAAAAGCATTGTGTCTGAAAGAGCCTATGAAAACAAGCCTCCTTTATCTGAAATACTGGCCTGATTTGTTTTAGGAAAACAGATTCCATGTTTTCAACTCCTGTTCATTTAAAAAATGATTTTCTTTTCATTTTAGGGTTAACTGATTTCCTGTCCTGCCTAATAGTAATATTACCTACCATATTTTTCATACGTCTCAAAGTATGTTCTTCCAGTCCAGAGCTTTGGAAGCTTTTTTAGTTGGGCATATTGTCATGGAGTATAGAGCCACCCTTGTGTCACACTTGCTCTCACATTGTCCTTTAATGGAGGGGAGAGCTCTCCCTTGGCTTTGCAGTGTGTCTACCTGTTGCCCCATGTCTGTGTGCTTTGACCTGCACGTGCTTGCAAAGGCTTGTGTGCAATCATTCCCCTCCACTGAAATTCCCTCTCAATGCAGCAGAATCATGGAGGCTGCAGCTAAGGCTGAATGAGCATTCCATGACCTAGAAGGTGTGATATTTGAAAGGAGGAGAATTTGGCCTACTTGGCAACAGAAATGGGAGTGGGTACATTTGAGTGCCTGTTAATGTGAAATAAGATGAGGACAAGATGAGATGTGATTCTGAAGCCCTCACTTCTTACAGACGTCAATCATTCTGGTTTGCCCAGGTGGTCTATCTTTTTGCTACATCAGGAGCTTGCTCATGGCTGGGTAGAGACGCTGTGCAGTGATGCTTGGACAGATAATGTTTGTGGGGGGTCATTGAGAGGCTTCCAAACTTTTAGGATGGTGAGTGGCAAATTTCAGTTGCTTCTGTTTCCCAGGTATACTGAAGAATGTGATTCTTGGAGGAAACGTCCTGAACATTTAATTCATCATAGTGTGGGAAAGAGACATGAATAGATATCAAAGGTCAGGGGCATTCATGACAAAGAGATCTATGGGGACCTCCCTTGCTGCCCTGGTGACCAAATGGCTAGTGATAGTCTTGGTGCTAGGTCGGACGATGTATAGCCAAGGTCACAAACTCACAGCTGAGGGGTTGATTCGGCAAACGTACTTTGACTGCACCTTTGATATTTTTATAAATTAATTGCTAACATTTCAAAATTGGGATATTTCATTTAAAATCTGGATTTCTCTTGAAAATTCAAAATTGCTGAACACACAGAGTTTTGATCCTTCTTGTCAGTGATTGCCTAGATTGAGGAACAGGTACTGTTCAGGAAGAAGCTGAGTTCTCCAGTTTTATTTCTTTTTCTTTATATCCAACCTTTGCAGTCATCTGCCTGGCCCCTGGGGCCTTTGAGTAAGAACCCCCCACTCCATGTGTTGCACAAAGAATTTGTGCTATGGAAGCCTTGTTTTCCTCCCGGGGTTATTCTGTCTCTTCTTAGACCTTTGCTAAGAGTTCTATACCCACTTGCACTTTATGTGATCTATTCTTATTCCATTCTGGCTCAACTTCTGAATGGACTGAACGCCCGCTTTGGGAATACGCATAGTCTCTGTGGTCACTGATTATGCAGAGCTATTTATCATATCAATCTAAGTGACTTCAAAGAGTACAAATATTTAGTGTATAATGGCGATCTTGGAAATAATCATGGCTGAGACTCTCAAGTTGTTCTTTAGGAAGCCTAAATTCCACTGTAGGTGGGACAAAAATAGAGGTACACATGTAAAATTAAAAATATGTAGATACCTGTCATACTGTTGGGAGTCATAGGTTAGTAATCATTCTGGATCCTTTTCTTCACTGACATTTCCTACAAAGAAAAAACACAAGAAAAAATTCCACAGATTATAACCTACATTTTCCATGATGTTTTTGTTCCAAACAATATCGTTTGCGTTAATTAGCTTGAGGCAAGAATTGTTACTCTCGACTCAGAACTGGTGAAACTGAAGCATAGGCGGATTATGTGGTAAGTATAAGTTTATAAGATTTCTTAATGGTCATCTCAGGGTTCCTACTAGATATATGTCTTTAAAAATTATTTTTAAAAAAGGTCATGTTTTTCCATGTCAGGTTTTTAAGGAAACACCAGCCCACTAATTTACTGCTTTCTGCAAGAGCGGCTAAGCTGTATTTAGTATCTTTATTCTAGATCCTTGTTTCTTAGACTATGATCTGTAGACCAGCAGTCTCAGCATTGCCTACTTCAAACAGAATCTGCATTTGGACAAGAGAGATGAACTCCTCTCCCTCATTCCTCCTTCACTCCTCCCTACTCAGGGCAGGGAGGTCCAGCAGGTGTCAGTGACTAGAGCCACGGACCAAGGGAAGAATGCTGAAGGACGTGCACGGTGGACAGTATAGATGGACATAGGCAGAGAGGAATGATGCCAAAGTCCTTGGGCATATTGCTGGGGATAGATAAGGGTTGGGCTTCTTTTCCTGAAGGGTGTTCTGTGACCAGTGGTAGGTGGTGGGCAGCACGTTGGCTTAGGAATAGCACTGAAGCTCAAGGCCCATATGGGTTTAAGGGCCAATGCTGTCAGGATCAGCTGTGAGACCATGGCGAGTAATTTCAAAGCACTGGAATCTTCATTTCTTCAGTGTAAAATGAGGAAAGCAATCCTTGCTCTACGTATTTCACTAGGCTGATGTTTCTGAAGTTTAAAGATGATACGAATGAAAGTGCTGGGTGATCTATGAGGTTCTGTGCCCATGAAACCATTGGAGGAGGGAGGAACCATCTGGATGTCAAACAGGTGTTTGGAGACAAGGAAGCAGGCAGGTCATGTTACCGCACAGATGTACATATGGCCGTCCCTGCTCTCTCTCCACACTAATACTGCAGCAACACATTCACACATCAACCATTGTTCTTGTCTCATCCTGTGGACATTACGTGTTTGCATGCCGTTTTCCCCACCAGACTGTAACTTCTGTATGGCAGAGATTTTCCCATTTTTATGTCTTCCACACAGAGCAGAGCACCAGATAACGTAATATGTACTTAACAACATATGTTGAACAACGACATAAAATGAGTGAAGTTGATGTGGCCCAGGGTAAGCTACCTGAATTAGTATCTGATAGAGGAGATGAATATCAACTCCTTTAGGAAAATGAATCCTTGGTACTATTCAAGGGGCACCTGCCGCAAGTCCTCTGTCCCATCCTCATACCCCTGTCCAGCTGCATTTTGAGTGAGAAGGACCAGGTTTTAAGGTGCCCTAAGGTGAAAGCACAGGTCATAACCACAGTCTTGCCTGTCCTGACTCTGCTGCTTTTCTTAGAAACTATGAAGCAGTTTGAGACTTTAAAGCCTCACAGTGGCTGGTGGGTAGAAAGCAGACCAGTCACGAGGCGGCAGAGTTGGTGGAGGGCAAAGGGCTCAAGGGACATTTGGAGGTAGAAACTGCAACACACAGCGATGACTGTAACGCGAGCATTTAACACTGGGATCAACACTGGGGAATCAGACAGGTTAGGAGGTGGAGGCTCTCTGCCCTCTGGGGATTAACAGTCCCTTGTATAAGCCTACTGTGAAAGCTAAAAATACAGGTCACAGATGCTGTGTGCCAGGGGAGGTGCTGAGCTTCACACAGGCGTAGCCGTCCTCTGTTTTCCCCTGCCTATTCCTCCTGTTCTCAGTCTGATGCTATGTCACTGGGGGTAAAGCTCATTTCCCTAGAAAGAGTGAGAAACAACCATTCACCTCCAAAACACATAAAATGCATTCTATTTTAAAAATCCACTTGAGAGGAAAGTTGTTATTGAGTACTCTGAAGCTGAGAAGTAAATGAAATTGTTATTGACACTTAGGAAATGGGTCCAGGGACTTTGAAGACATTGAGTTCCATGTAGTCCACTGTGAGTGGGGGCTGCTGCTACCTCCAAGGCCATTTTGGGCTGCCTGGACAGAAGGTGGCCTGCAGGACAAGGGCTGGGCCCATATGTGGGCTGCTGCATTTTAGGAGGAACATTTCACATAGAATACCCTGGACGGTGGAAAACGTAACTTAAGGAAACGTTGAAAGAAACTTAGGAAAGGAAGACAGCATAGTGGTCTTCAATTGTCTGGGAAGCTGTTGCATGGGGAAGAGTCAGGTTGTGTCTGGGGGGCCACGGATGGGTAAGGAGATGCAGCTGGAGACGCCTGAGGCCCTTACGTGCCCTCCCTGAGGTCTAAAAGGACTCATGTCTCATAAGCAGAGGTTAAGCACCCTCTCCTTACCTTGGCCTGCTTTTTGTTGTCAGGGCATATTAAGCCTCTCTTGAGAAGACCAGCATTCACAGACACCTTTCATACACAAAACCCATTCACAGACACCATGTTAAGCTTTGGCTACAACTTTGATCCTTATTAAAATAAAATGCTGCAATAAAGTAGGTGCTGTGTGTGAAACGCTCTGGGATAAGTTAAAGGCCTGCTCCACGCTCCACCTTCCCGTTCCCCTGTGAGGTTGCATTCTTTAGCTCAGTGGATCTCAACAATTGGGAGATATGGACTCTTTAAGGCATATAATGAAAGTTGCAGGTTCCTCGCTTTGAAAAACAGTCAAATGATTTGGCATATATTCTTGGTGGATTCACAGACACCTTTCATACACAAAACCCGTTCATACACACCATGTCAAGCTTTGGCTACAACTTCGATCCTTATTAAAATAAAAATATCTAGCAGAAAAGATGTGAGCTGGTGTAAATATACTGTAGTGAATAGAATGAATAGGAGACATGAGGGCTGGTTTGGGTGGGGAGAATACAGAAAAGAAACGACAAGAGATCCCTTTGTGGGTAGAAGGAAGATGGGTTTCTCGGGAGCAAGGCTGGATGCTGAAGAGGATGTAGTCTAGACCTGCCTGCTCGCCCATCAGACACCAGCTCAGTGGGCTCTGGGTCATTCAAGATGGATTAGCCCTGGAGCCCACCCCTGTGGGGCTTAGGTGAGGAATCCAGCCTGTAATGCAGGAGCAGAAGGGCTGAACAAGAGGGATAAAGGTGTGTTTGAAGGAGCATGTGATTCATTCTACCTGAATGAAGGAACTCGGTGGTGACATCTGAGCTTGGCTTTGAAAAAATAAGTCAGAGTTGCTTCCAGGCAGGGGATGGAAAGCCTAGCTCGGGAGCAACTGAAGGGTGCAGGGAATATGATGGGGGTGGGGGTGGGGCAGGAAGTGACCACTGCAAATGTGGTCTGAGGCCAGACTGTGAGGGGTCTTAAAAGCCTTGCTGGGATTTAGGCTTTATCCTGTAGGCAGCTGGAAGCTATGGAAGGTCCTTAAGGGAGTGACCAGGTTGAGAAAGCCAGACGTGCTGCAGGTGCAGGGGGACTGTTCAGGAGGCTAGCCCCTTGAGTGGCACCTCTTTGGGTGTGATCATTACTATCTTCCTGCCTCAGTATTTGAGGTTCCAAGGCTACACTAGTGCCAGAGAAAATGCCTAGTTCCTTACAGAACTCCAGAGTGCACACTTTGGTCCCCTGGGTTTCCTTTTTCTCTATAGATACTACACCACTGAAGGGACATCTGGGAAAATGACCCCTTGAAAATTTCATCTTTCCATATAGACAGTGAGTCGCTGTTTATCCCAGCTGTACCTGAGTCTGAAACACTCGACATCAACCTTTGCTGAGGAGGGTGTTTGTGGCCTTTTCAGAGCATCTTCCTTAGTTTTCTCCTTGGTGCTCTCAGGAGGAAGCAACCTGAGGGAGCCATGGCTGGGCTGGAGCTGTGGGGAGGGAACCTTCATAAGCAATTCTCTTGGGTCATGTTAAAAAATCAGATGCCCAAGTGTTGTGGTATTCTAGATTCTGACCTGAGGCCATTATCCTCAGGAGGATGCTCAGAGAACAGATTTATCTTCTCACCTAGTGTTGAGTAAATATGACCAGGTGTGGAATCAATGCATGTTCCAGATTTCCCAAACAGAAGGATTTCAGAAGTCGCTGTATGAGAGGAGGGCACAGCTTGAGGATATCATGCAATTACGTTTATGTAGCAACTGTTATTTACAAGGTCTACTTGTATTGTGGAGTTCTGGTCACTGCTGGAAAGCTCCTGGGATGGGGAGGAGCCCTTCACCCCACCTTTTCCCCACTTTGGCCTTTCCACTGCTGTCTATGGCATCTCAAACCACAGCTGGGTAAAGCAAATGGCTGTCTCTTCCAGTGGGCTGCACACAACCCTAGGAGGGCAATGAGATTGTGGCTTTTTCAAGCATGAAAGTGGAATTTCTTGTCTTCTCCCTCTTCTGCTCATAGGAAGAGTGGGAGAGACTTACATGAAACCCTGGACTCTGGCATTGGGGAAACACTTCAGAGAGCAAGTTCAACTCCACGTATGAAGGAAAGACTCCTGCACTGGGCATCATCTCAGCTCAATAGTTTGGGAACCATGGATAGCTTCCTCAATCCTCTGAGCATAATTTGTAAATAGAAGTCACAATTCCTGTCCTTCCAGAGTTATAGTGAGAACCAAGGAATTTGGAAAGTGCTTATAAATGTAAGAGTAGGCAAAACTACCCACTAGTTCTCCCCTTGCTGACTCTTGCACCCAGATCCTCTTGTGCTCTAGGTATTTACTCCCCCCAACCCCCACATTTTATCATAAAGACATCTGCACTTGAATGTTCACAGCAGTACAATTACAAAGATGCAGAAACAACCCATGTGCCTTTCAGTACCTGCACGGACTGATAAATTATGGTATATGTATACTATGGAATAGTATTCAGTCATAAAAGGTGGAGATTTTGTACCTTCTGTAACACCCTGGATGGAATTGGAGACCATTCTCCTAAATGAAGTATTGC